TTTAAATGTTCTATATCTGTGAGATGGGTCTCTTGAATAAATGCGATATCTGTGCTTTTTTTCTTAAAGTATGTTATAACTTTTTTCCTTTTGATGGGGTTGTTAATCCCTCTTACATTCAATGAAATACAATTTAGTAGTCCCATTCATTTTAAGCATTATGAAAAAATATTCTGGTTAAGTGACAACATGAGATGCACATAACTTGGAGAAAAAGAGATCTCTGACCCTTTACTAAGGGTTTACAAATTTCAATATTCATAGAATGAACCTCATAGAGAGAGTGTCCCATGGACCCCAAGAAAGAGGAAAAAACAAACAAACAAAAAAAAAACCCCACATTTAAACCTCCTATAAACAAAAAACAAATTGTGGGTTAAACTCCGCTTCTAAACGTTTGTGGTAACCTGTATTATGAAATTCTTTATCAAAGGTTCGTGAACGATCGGCACAGATATTCAGACAATGGGAAAAATAAAACACACAGACTGTAACTTGCTAGAATAATATTTGTCATTTATTAATCTGCCACAAGAAAAACAGCCAAGCAAAAAGTCATGTACACTCGTACACTCTGTACACACAAATTGATATGAGTATCTCTCACCGTGACAAAATGATCGGGAAGCCTTTCGATCCAATGACAGAACTCAATCACAACTGCATGGCACCGCGCGCTGGTCCACACAAGACTTCCAAGTCTCTGTGTTTGTTACATTTCTTATATACCTTTCCCTGACCGGATCGCGTGAGAGCAGTGAAAAACAAGTTTGATGGTTGCCAGGAAAAACAGATTTAATTAAATCTGTTTTTCCATCATCAAAGCGGTCTGTGCAACAGAGCGATGGTTTCATAAAAACATGTCCTTCAAAACCTGGGTCACTGTAACCTTAAGATTGGGCCCGATCTTCTGGTTAGAGCATCCCCCAGAGAACTTTAATTACTCCAAAACACATCTGCAGCACAGGCCTGACTTTAAGGAGATAAGCTGCATCAAAAGTGAGTATAAGTGTGTTTCCAAACTACATGTAAATGAGTGTAATATAAGTATAAATTGACATAAAAGCATAATATTTGTCATTCCTATATCATTCCACCCTTGCCTTTTATGGCAATTTAGACATTTAATTCTGAAAAGTAACACACACAAAATATATATGTTTGAATAGGCATAAAGGCAACTTAACACCTTATAAAACATATTTTTATATCATAACCTCAGCAGAGAAATATTTTTCTAAAGAGGAATTCCGGCAAAGAAAGTTAAAAAAAAAGAGAAAAGTCACTCAGAGACTGTATTAATTCTAATAAAATCTACTTAACGCATATGTGATGTTATCAGACACAGCAGCGCCCGATATTACACTTGTTTAACATTTGAGGTAGTAATTATGGATTATCTTTTTTAACATTGTTTTTCCGTTAACAGACCTGGTGCGTTGTCATCTTGCAAAGAGAACGTTCTATCCCTCCTCCCGAACAGTGGACAGGAAGGTCTCCACCTCAGATGGGGCTGAAAAAAGTTTAAATCCTCCTCCGTGTCGGATCCTCAGTTTAGCAGGGTAGCGACTGGCGTATTCAATATTTTCCTCCCGTAGTTTTTTCTTCACCTCGTTGAAAGCGAGCATTTTGCGTTGCACCTCGATGCTGTAATCTGGATGAAATGAGATTCGACCATTATCCAACTGTATCGTCCCCTTGTTTCTGGCCAAACGGAACACTTTGTCTTTGTCCCTGGAATTCAGAAACTTCACGAGGATAGGTCTGGTCCGCTCCGACGCTCTCCCCAGGCGGTGCGCCCTCTCGATGGTGATCGGGGCTGGGAAGTGTTCCTCCCCGAGAAGTCGCGGGATAAGTCGTTCCACGAAACCAATCATGTCGTTACCTTCTGACCTTTCTGGAATGTTTATAATCTTGACATTTGATCTCCTGCTTTGGTTTTCCAACTCGTCCGTTTTCTCCTTCAGGTAAGTTATTTCAGTCTCCATTTTGAGTATGCGTGCTTGTGCGTCAGAGAGGTTGTCTTCGTTAGCTCCAATTCTGGTCTCCATTTCCTGCACCTGTCCAGCCAGCGTTGACATTGACTGTTCTATTTTTATTAG